TTGTTTTGTTAATATTTGATATATTAATTCAAACGTTGCTTTTTTGTTTAATGTTTTCCTCGTCCCAATGTAAATAGTTGGTACCTATCATTGGCTTTAATTGCACAGAAACGACAATGAACTGCTATCCCAAGGTGCACGCAAAAAATACATATTCATTTTCTACGCATTATGGTACTAAATGAAACAGCCGACGTCACATGAGACCGAGTTAACTCCAGATCTTTATTAACACGATTTTATTAGTTTGGTATGTATGTTTGTTTGTATTGAATCTCTGAACGTCGTTTTCACCAACTCAAGACGGCCGATTAACTTGAAAATCTCCACACGCATCAAGTTCCGATGAAATTGCAACTTGATAAAAAAAAAACACAACTTCGCTCTAATAACCAATAAATAAATAAAATAAAACGGTTGTGCTGTTAAAGCATGTTTTTTTATTATTTTCCACAGTGTTACCCGAGCGCTATGACATGTCCTTCTTCAAACGAGGCTTGTGGAGGGTATTAAACGGTAGGCAGCGGCTTGGCTCTGCTCCTGGCATTGCTGACGTCAATGAGCGACGGTAACCACTCACCATCAGGTGGGCCATGTGCTAATCTGCTTAGACGGGTAATAAAAACAACGACCTACATAAATATATTATTGACTAGTGTTCGCCCAATGTTTGAAATTTGATCATATTGATTAATCATGGTTTCGATTTAGTTTACTTATTTCATTTTATCCTTCGTTTTATTATTGACAATTTGGAGTAAACTGATTTTGAATTGATTTCTTGATAACATTAAAAGTTGCTAAAGAACAAAATAAAGAAATATCGATTTACGAACAACAAATTGTACTTTGTTCTTAAGGTTTTTTTTGTCGTTCCCTTTTAATTGATAATTGATAGATTACGTTGGCTGCAGTACCCAACAATACAACGTGTGTATGACTCTCCACTTTGAGACCTAAATGACTGGAGACGTGATATCTTAAGTTTCTTTCTTTCTATTATGAGAGCACTTAAAAATGGATAATATTAAATATTGAAAAAAAAAAATACATTAAGTGGTTACTGGAGCCCATATAATGTACCTAATAGCACAATAAAATGTATATTTGAAATAAATTACATTTGGAAAAAACCCTTAAATCATTAAAACAAAATCAGTAGTTATTGTCTTATAATGCCCTGCCTATTTCTGCCTGAAAAGCAGTAATGCGTTTCGGTTTGAAGGGTGGGGCAGCCGTTGTAACTATACTTGAGATCTTAGAACTTATATCTCAAGGTGGGTGGCGTATTTACGTTGTAGATGTCTATGGGCCCCAGTAACCACTTAACACCAGGTGGGCTGTGAGCTCGTCCACCGATCTAAGCAATAAAAAAAAGTTTCGATTTACGCGCATTTTCAATGTGCCCTACCTACAATTAGTACTTTGACTGACGATACTACCAGTGATCGAGTAGTAAAGTCGAGCAAGGATCGCATTCCCATATGCACTGATCAATTACCAAAAAGACAATTATCGTTAATATCTTCTGATATAACGACATGACTAAGTTGCTTTGTTTTGATTAATATATTTCCGTGTTTACAATGGTAATTTCATTCATAACTAAGACGACGCCGCGACGATGTAATGTCGTAATCCATTTAATGCGCTACATTGACATGACGTAACAAGCATGTTCCGACGCGTGTTTTTCACGTGTGCTTCAATATTAGTGATAATGAAAATACTAGAAAACTCGGACGGCCTTAATTAACAATACAAGCCGCTATACTAATGCGTAGAGTACTCTTGTTTAAACTTTTATTGGTTAAATCTATACTAATATTATAAAGCTGAAGAGTTTGTTTGTTTGAACGCGCTAATCTCAGGAATTACTGGTCCGATTTGAAAAATTCTTTCAGTGTAAGATAGCCCATTTATCGAGGAAGGCTATAGGCTATAAAATCACGCTAAGACGAATGCAAGCGGAGCACCAATAAAGAATTTCTCGAAAAATCGGTGAACATACATAGATAAAAAATTATGGTCGAATTGATAACTTCCTCTTTAGAAGTCTGTTAAAAAGCGTGAGTTTTGGTACCTTAAATAGCTCCTTAAAATTCTATTATTCAAAAGTATTTTCACTTTCTACATAATATATAGAGGCGGGTAAAATTTAGCCTTATGCCAAAGTAACTATTCCACGCGGACGAAGTCGCGGACAAAAGCTAGTAAAACTAATTTTTTTTTTTTTAATTGCTTAGTTGGGTGGACGAGCTCACCAGCCCACCTGGTGTTAAGTGGTTACTGGAGCCCATAGACATCTACAACGTAAATGCCGCCACCCACCTAGAGATATGAGTTCTAAGGTCTCAAGTATAGTTACAACGGCTGCCCCACCCTTCAAACCGAAACGCATTGCTGCTACCGTGCGGACTCACAAAAGGGCCTAGCACCAGTAAAATATAAATTAAATGCATTTTTTTTTATGGACGGATTTCTGTTGTCCCCGGGTTCTACTAACAGCTGCCCGAACGCCTCTGAAGGAGACGTAACAGCTCAATGGGAATAGCTTCGACCGGAGAATCTACTGGCGGATCGGAAATGTGACCGATTTAGAAGATCCGGCGAGAAGCTCAGTGGGCTGATGCTATGGATCAGTGTGCTTAGTGCGAGTTTTTTAACGTTCTCGATAGCGTAAAAGTTAAATCAATTTTTTTTTGTTTTTTTATTGCCCTTGTAGGCAGACGAGCATACGGCCCACCTGATGGTGAGTGGTTACCGTTGCCCATGGACTTCAGCAATGCCAGGGGCAGAGCCAAGCCGCTGCCTACCGCTTAATACCCTCCACAAGCCTCGTTTGAAGAAGGACATGTCATAGCGTCATTGTATGGAGTTGAAACGTTCGCCTACGTTTTCCGCTAGGGGCGCTGTTCCAACTGCATACAAGATTCGGTTAACTTTTACGCTATCGAAAACGTTAAAAAACTCGCACTAAGCACTCAGGTGAACCTATTAAGTCGAAGTGCATTCGAAACTCATTATAAACTTATTAGGTAGGTTTAAAAACCAATTAAAGAGTACAGTACTTATTATAATTTTTACGAATCAACAAAAAACCAAAAGAATTGTCATCAGTATGTAGATATCGTTTTTTGTCAATTTAATGTTATAAAACATTATCATCTGATAGTTTAAATGTGGTAAATATTAACCACAAAGCAAAAATTTGGTATCTTAATTACGTAATTTTAAAGTGAAAAAAAAAGAAATAAAGATAAAAAAATTCCAATGACCTTAATGTCATATTATTACGGTGAAATAAAAAATAAAAAATAAATGTTTATAAAAAAATTGCAGTAGACATTGTGTAATAATTTAATTTTGTTAATCTATAATTAAACTTTAATTTGACTGTCTTATATAATATTTACCCAGGCAGAATAAGGTTTTAAGCATCTATCTATACTAAAGGTCCCGCAGTAGTCGAAATTCGACTATAATTAATTTGAATTGTAAGTTTGTACACTACTAAGGTTGTATTAAATACTTCTATAATCACAAATTTCGCTAAGGCTACAATATTAAAAAATACTAATAAAGACAGTTTGACCACAGACGTCAAGAACAAAAGTTTGACAATAAATAGTATGCATGCGTGTGTGCGTCAAATACATGGTATGTAGTGTGTGTAATGTTTTCTTTATTGATTTAATGTATCTTTTATGCATTATTTTTAAAAAAAAAATTAGCATTATGCACTTCTTCTCTGTTTTCTCTATAAGTGTGGAAAATTTCATACTCCTCCGTCCGCGCAATTTTCGTAAAAAGGGATACAAAGTTTTTGCTTCACGTATTAATATATAGATATTATATTTTAACTAGGCACAGATAAAATAGTTAAGGACCATTTTCTCCTCTCTTCTTTCTTATTGCTTAGATGGCTGGACGAGCTCACGGCCCATCTGATATTAAGTGGCTACCTGAGTCCATAGACATCTACAACGTAAATGCCGCCACCCACCTTAAGACACGAGTTCTAAGGTCTCACTTTTAACTACGGCTGCCCCACCCTTCAAACCGAAACGCATTAGTGCTTCTCGGCAGAAATGGGCAGGGCATTATAAGACAATAACTACGGATTTTGTTTTAATGATTTAAGGGTTTTTTCCAAATGTAGTTTATTTCAAATATACATTTTATCGTCCTATCAGGTACATTATATGGGCTCCGGTAACCACTTAATGTATTTTTTTTTTCAATATTTAATATTATCCATTTTTAAGTGTTCTCATAATAACCTATAACACAGAGCTAACATTAAAATAATTCGAATGTTATTTTAACAAAAAAAAAACAAAAATAGGTATTATGAATTTCAATTTCGAACATAGACTTAAACAATAGTAAAAGTCGTAATATCACAATTTGCTTTCTTAGAATACAAGGCATGTACACAATACCATGTTTACTAGCATTAACTGATAATCAGACTTCTATTTTGTCTATTTCTAACGATGAGATAAATATGTATGTAAGAAAAAAATTGCCGGATACTATTCCGATATAATTTTATCGGCTAAAAGGTTGAATATACCTAAGTCTCGGAATTCGCCACCTCGCTGAACCTGGGTTATTAAAAACATAATAATCACGAGACGGAGATCATTGTTATGTAAATATAAGCACCGAATACTGATATCACATTGTTACGTTAAATGACATATCACATTTGTTCACATGGAAAAAAATTTAGCAGTGCAGTTCAAGGCGATACGTCTCTGGACGGGTCAGCAGTTTGATAACCTCCTCGCAACGATTCTTCGGCCCGCATTCAGACGCGATTCGCCCTACTGCGACTCCGTTTGTCTATAAAGGGAACCGCCGATTATAATGGAAACAGTCCGGCAGCGAACTCCGTCGATGATGTCCATATAGCATTACGGAGACACTTAAATTAGTGCGTAACTATCGCTTGTGGTGCCAAAATACACAGAACAGAACGCGGATAAATCCAATAGACTGTTTAATTCAAAGACTCCCTCCATTTGTTGTGCGCATGCGTCACAGCTGCACTGCAATTGGTTAAACGGGAACATTTACAGAGAAAGTAAAAAAACATGAGTGCAAAGGACAATGATCGTGGCGATCGTGCCAGTCGATCTTCGTGCAACAGCAAGGCAACCATGATTGTTGTCTCTAACCGGCTACCGTTCATTCTAAAGAGAGATGAGAACGGAGTATTACAGAGAAAGGCCAGGTATGCGATCGTGTGTATTTCTATTCATTAATAATAAAATTGTGATAAAAAATACCAGATACGAATTTTGTTATGTTTCAATTCATATGTAATGATATTTTGAAATGTCTGCTAACAAATAATGTGTTAATATTGAAACGCATATTAGGTAGTTTATATGATGCACTGTGAATGAAATTTAACTGCGAGCTGTTATTTCATAAATTAAAAAAAAATCGATCATCGACATTTCACGGAAAATATTATTAAATATAATAATAAATATTACATAAACTATTTTAAACGGCAAATATTATTTAACTTTTCACAAATGATATTTTAACCTAAAGCCGTCCATTTCTCCTTCATTCGTTTCTGGTCGAATAACGAAAGACTTTCGGGAAGTTTCTGCGATCGTCTAGAATTATGTGCGCCGGTTTTTAAACTACACCTTCACGACATACAGCTGTGGTATTATTTGTAAAGTTGAATAGTGATGTTGCGATTTATAGAAACACTATGTCTTAAATACGCTGCGGTTAATGTTTGTTTTGTAATTAATGTTGTCGGTTGTCGATGCAAAAGTGGTGGCCTTACGCGAACAAATTAACTGGTAGGTCAAGTTCATAATAAAGAAGTCACGCCGTGTTTGTGTACACATGATTCAAAATAATGTTTACCGTATTTCGAACTATTTATTGTTGTATTTTTAAACCTCAATTGACAGTGTGGTGTCGTAAAAATCGACTAAAGTGTTATTTTACAAATTCTAATAACTTTTGCTCACTCAACAAACATGCTTACGATTTAATGAATGCATTTCTCTATATTACTATATTACTTTGATTAATGTGAAAATAATTATCTAAAAACAGTTATTGGTGAATATTTACTATAGTCATCTAACACAAAATTTGCGTGATATCGTTTGCTCATCTACAACATTATAACAGACAAATGGAAGAAATTATTAAGAATTATTAAGAAAAAATTAAAATAAAACAGAACTTCCCGGCACATTGATGAATATTTAACTATACAGAGACTTTTGGCACTGTTCATCCAAATATCGAAATTCGGCCATAATCACATTACAAGTTTTTTTTTTTTTTTTTTTTTTTTTTTTTTTTTTTTTTTTTTTTTTTTTTTTTTTTTTTTNCGTTTTTTTTTCCACAGGAGAAAATCGCCGGATCCCCACCCGCACGGCAGGTGGGGTATGTGGGAGTCGAACCTCACTAAAAAAAAAAAAAAAAAAAAAAAAAAAAAAAACTCCTGCCGCTCACAGCCGGCGCCCTACCCCGGACCGGGTGGGAACCCAGTCGGAGTTACATTACAAGATTTAGACTCATTTTTAAAATTTTAACATTTGACATCACTATCGACATTTTGGTTACAAAAAGAAATCCAAAAAAGTTGACTAAAACATAACTTTGGATAATGAAAATTGTGCATGATAACATTATACAATAATAAACAAATATTCCATTGATTGAAACAGACTAGAAAATAATGCTTGACTGTGTTGACTTTGCTTATTTATCGATCGCTGGCAATATTCAAATGGTTTGATTACATCTGTATATTAATACGTGAAGCAAGAATTTTATACCCCTTTTTACGAAAATTGCGCGGATAGATGACTATGAAATTTCCCACACTTATAGAGAATATAGAGGAGTGCAGAATGCTAATTTTTTTTTAAATTATGCATTAATAATACATTAAATCAATAAAAAAAACATCACACACACTACCATGTATTTGACACACACATATATAAAACTTTTTGTTTATTGTCAAACTTTTATTATTGCTTAAAGTGGTCAAATTGAAAATAGGTTGTTATTGTTTATCTTTAATATTATTTGTCTTTCGTGTAGTTTTGGCGAAATATCTGATTATAGAAGTGTTCAAACTTATGCGGGACCACTAGTACATTTTAATTTGTGAACTATTTTGCAACAATGTCACCTCTGTCAAAAAGTAAATTAAATTTAAATCCATTGAAAGTTATGATGATTATTGTATTGATGTATTAAATTTTCAATAATTGTAAATAATCACACGTCGAGTTTTGTCTAAATCTGAACTATTAAGCCATTTTGTTGTTGACAACGTTTTATTTTAAGACAATATTAATATAACAACTTCAAAATTACAATAAGATTTTTTTATGGTCACTAACTTCATCGATTACAAAACTAGTTTGTATTGAGTCGTACATTATGTAATCACATGCGCTTGTGTGATTCACTAACACGAAATTAATGCTCATTGATATTAATGAATGTTCTCGTAAAACTCTAATTACTTGTCAATGAGGAAAATAAATAAACTTCATAAAATGTTTCATACTAATAATTCGTTTTGTTGGGCTGGATTGGAATTAGGTCTCTGTAATGTATATCTCATATTCCTCATCTCAACCTCACTGTTTATTGAAAGCAGGAAAGGTAATTTTGAACACTCAGTAATTATAAAATTGGTTGTTTGCAAATTTTATCACATAACTGAACGAAACTCTTCTTTTCTTCTTTTTCTCCACCTTATCCCACTAGGTGGGGTCGGCGCGGCCAATTTTTCTATCCTATTCTCTTCTATCAACCATCATCTCAACACTCACTCGTCTTTCTCCCATTTTGTCATTTAAACACTCCATCCATGTCTTCTTCAGTCGACCTCTCCCTCTCTACCTTGCACTACCATTTCCATACATCTCCTAGTCACATGCACGAATAACTGAACGAAACTGTCTACCTTTTAACATCAATGCGTTAATTAAGCTACTAGATTTAAAAGATAACATATTTATTTCACTAGAAAAGGCGGCTATACTAAATACATACAGAATAGTGAGAAAGTTGCTGCAGCTTGAAGATAACCAAACTTACTACACGTAATAAAAACTACCATATTAACTCATAGCTACTGTACCTTTAGTACTTGACCAAAAGCCCGTATAAACAGTTCTACCGTTCTACCGGCTCTGTCGACAGACAGAACTGAGAAAGGGGAAACCTATGAACATAACAATAATAACAAATATAATACAGTCAAACCTGGGTAAGTGAGAGCTGGATAAGTGAGAAAACTCTATAAGTGAGAGTAATAGCCAGGACTCGTCATTTTTTGCTCCTAAAACCTCTATTAGCGAGAAACAGAAACCTCTGTAAGAGAGAGTCGTTTTTGCCTCATGGACCTCCGTGAGTCAGACTGCTACTTATCTATACCTCTATAAGCGACAGTCGAGCTTTATTTATTTATATTATTTAGGAGGAAAAAATGACAAAACAAATTACAAATTTAATATCTGCTATTTTATGACTCATTCTTAACTTTCGTGGAACTTCTTAACATTTTTTTTGTATTGTTTTCTCGTCAATATTGAACCTATTCTATTTCGTGGAACTAAATAACGTTGTTATTTATTCGATTTCTTTTGGAATGGACACGTGTGCCTGTGTACCGTCCTGTTTGTCGGACTTACTCAGTTTATCGTTAATCAATTGCGAAGTAAAGTTCTGTTCTGCATCATGTCAAAACAGAAAATTAAAGTACTGTCATTAAGTGATAAACTTAAAATAGTGAATGCGTTTGAATCCGGGAAATCGCGAAATGAAATTCAGAGGGTGCATTAGCGAGAAACTCGGGTTAGTGAGAAACCTCTATAAGCGAGAATGAGATTGTGCTCCCTTGAACTCTCGCTTATCTAGGTTTGGCTGTATATATAATATATATATATGTATACTAGCCGTACTCGCCCACTTCGCTGGGCATTTAAAATTGTCATTATTATTAGGGAGTCCAACACTCACATAAATATTAGCCTATTCATTAAGTACATGTATTTTCTACATGGATACCAAGTTTCAAGTCAATCGGATGCATGGTTCAGTAGTTATAACGGAACACCAAACCACTGTAGATTTATATATTAGTATAGATATACAGTCAAAACCTTTTACTGCGACATCGTTTAGAACAACATGCCGGTTATAATAACCTAGAACAAAGGTCCCGGCTGAATGCCATATGACCGCCTTATTAAAAATATTGCTTTCTACGACATTGGTAATAACGACATACCTCATAAAACGACCACATTTAACTAATATTTCGGAGAATTAGATCTGTTAGAACGACCGNAAAATATTGCTTTCTACGACATTGGTAATAACGACATACCTCATAAAACGACCACATTTAACTAATATTTCGGAGAATTAGATCTGTTAGAACGACCGGCTAAGCTGTATTGTAAACAATTTGAATAGGTATCCACATTTGTCTTCAATGGCTATTAAAATCAGGAAAGAAAACAATAGGATTTAGTTTAGTGTAGGGTCTTTTCTAAGTCTTAGAAACAAAACACGTGCATGCGGTAGTCAAAGCCCGCTGCTTCATATCTCTTCAGTTAGTTTGTTACTTATCTATACACAAGACGCACCAAAACTTTGTGGGGTTATTCGTGAAACTTTCAAAATGTTGCAAAGAAAAAGAAAACAAATTAATATTGAAGAAAAATCGCGTATTATGTAAATATATTTTTTCCAATAATTCCCTATCGATTTATTTGTACTTGCACGATACACATTAAACATCACCGGTTGTTACGACTATCGGTTTTTACGACTGAATATGAGCAGTCCCTTCGATGTCGTTATAACAGATTTTGACTGTATTAATAATATTAACTGTTTATTCTTTTAACAGTGCCGGTGGCCTAGTGACTGCAGTTGCGCCGGTTGTGATTCGCGGCCAGGGTAACTGGGTAGGATGGCCGGGCATCCACCTCGAAGACCCCAACGAGAAGATCCCTGAATCGGATCCTAATGACAAGACCCCAACCGCTGGCCTGCGTTCGGAGAAAGTAAGTACTTAATCAACATAGAATTATATCACGTCTGTTCGAGTTTTTTACTGGTGGTAGGACCTCTTGTGAGTCCGCACGGGTAGGTACTACCACCCTGCCTATTTCTGCTGTGAAGCAGTAATGCGTTTCGGTTTGAAGGGTGGGGCAGCCGTTGTAACTATACTTGAGACCTTAGAACTTATATCTCAAGGTGGGTGGCGCATTTACGTTGTGGATGTCTATGGGATCCAGTAACCACTTAACACCAGATGGGCTGTGAGCTCGTCCACACATCATAAGCAAAAAATATATATAAAAAAATTTGATTTGATTTGATTTGATTTATTCCGAAACTAAATTAGCGAAATTTTCTTATTTCCTGATTTCAGAAAAATAAAGGTACTTACTCTATTACATAAAATATTATCCTTCACAAAGCCCCAAAGAATCATTACAGCATTGTACTTTTTAAATAACATAGCGTTCTAACGTTTCCATTGTGGATTGTACACGAACAAAAGAAACTAAACTGAATGAAGTACTTTTTTTGTACATGAAAAAGCAAGGCTCCAGTTTCGTAGTTCAAATTGAATTTCAGGGATCTTTGTAATACAGCTCGTCATTGTAGAAGAATTTAAATTAAATTTTTTAGTTAGTCGCGTCATGTGCAGTTACAATAAAGACAAGTTTTCGGATTATTTATTTAGTTTTTGTTTCGTTTTATCTATATATTAATACGTGAAGCTAAAACTTTGTATCCCTTTCTATGAATATTTGCGCGGACCTAGGAGTATTAAATTTTCCACACTTATAGAGAATATAGAGAAGAAGTGCACAATGCTAATATATTTTTTAAATAATGCATATTATGCAATTTAATGCAATTAATTCTAGTCGAATTTCGACTACTGCGGGACCTCTAGTATTACAAAAAAAGCCCATAGAACGCATCGTCAAAGGAAGGCAGCGCGCCATTCCGATCCAGTAACCCATAGACACAGCCCACCGAGTTTTTCGCCGGATCTTCGATCGCGATTCGGATCCGGTGGTAGATTCTGCGAAGCACTGCTTTTGCTAGGGCTAGTGTTAGCAAATTCTCTCAGGTTGAGCCCGTGAGCTCACCTACGAGCAACACTTTCCTTTTTTTTTATTGCTTAGATGAGTGGACGAGCTCACAGGCCACCTGGTTTTAAGTGGTTACCGGAGCCCATAGACATCTACAACGTAAATGCGCCACCCACCTTGAGTTCTAAGGTCTGAGTATAGTTACAACGGCTGCCCCACCCTTCAAACCGAAACGCATTACTGCTTCACGGCAGAAATAAGCAGGGCGGTGGTACCTACCCGCGCGGACTCACATGAGGTCCTACCTTCGTTTTAGTGTAGCGTGTTGTCAACTGTAATTCCAAATATACTAACCCCTCCGTTATCTGGGAGAGCAAGCAATGTGAATGTGAACTTCTTACGTTTTAATTCACTTCGTGTCTTTTTAATTGAAAAACATTGTAAATACATTCTGCTGTAAAACTTACGTGAATACGTCACGGATCGACGGCACAATTTATTAAACTGGTTTTCTATTTCGAACTCCCAAAACGGATTTTCATTCCAATTTTCAATTGAAATCTATACTGATATTATAAAGCTGAAGAGTTTGTTTGAACGCGCTAATCTCAGGAACTACTGGTCCGATTTGATTTTTAGATAGCCAGTGTTAGATAGCCCATTTATTAAGGAAGGCTATATATAGGCTATATAACATCACGCTAAGACCAATACAAGCGGAACACCAATAAAGAATGTTTCAAAATCGGGTTTTGAGAGCTTCCGCTGCGTGCGCTGTAGAAACGATTAAAGTTTCGCTAAAATAATGTATGACAGAATTGTTCCCCTTTAAAAATCTAAAAAAAAGTCCGCGACAGCATGTCTATATGTTAAGGTTGGCTCACTATAACGTTTTTTATGCTAACCAAATTTGTTCTAAAATAAAGCATTTTTGTGAACTATTCCACGCGGACGAAGTCGCGAGCAAAAGTTAGTATATTATACACGTTTTTTTTAATGCCTAAATGTATCTATAAATGTTAAATGGCCTTGCTAAATGCATTTACTTTCTACGTTCTCTGCATTATTTTTGCTGGACTTGTTATTAATGCTAGAATGCTCGTTAACTCCCCTAATGCATTGAAGTATATATACTGGAATAAATAAATAAAAATCATAAACCTTTATAATCCCATCTAAAGTTTTCTTAGATAAAGCTGCAAAAATCACCGGCTGTACCGTGTAAATAACAATGACAGCAAACCTATCGAGTGTTAGCGTTCGGATCTAATTCAATAATGATAACGAATAATTTAGACAGTTGATTTAATTCTGCGTTTAACACTGCGTCACGCAATATAGTAATAAAACTGGTGTGATCAACAATTAATTTAAAGCCTGTAGTTTTGCTTCAAAACTTACACTTACTATGTCTATAAACACGATTATTTCAGTAATGATTTAAGCTTTGAGATATAATGTGCCTAAAGTTTAAATAAAAATTGTTAATACATAAATAAAGGAAAAAACAAGAAAATAATGAATATAATTGACAATAGCAAAAATACTGATAAAATTTTCGAGTTAGAAAAACTGTAAAACGTAATGCAGGTTTTCTTTATATGACCTTGAAAAACAAAACTAGGTAAAAAACCTTTCACAATATCTATGAACATTATAAAATTGTAAGACAAATGTGTCTGTTACTTTAAAGTTATTACAAAAAAAAAACAGTTTTCAAAACCAAAAATAATACTTTAAAATTGGTATCCAAAGTATGTAATTATGTCCTTTACTCTGATTATCTGATTCTATTACCGTACGAACACAAACACGTTTCTTCAAACCGCAAAAACAAAGTGCATACAATTCGCAATCGGCTCAATTAGCGAAATCAACATGCGGGAGTTGCAATCTATATGCAATACAATAGTATAATAATATCATTGTCTCACAAACAACGCATATCCTATCAATCAAAAGAGCCATCGTGCTTTTTTTTTAATTGTTCAAACGGGTAAATGAGCTCACGGCCAGCCTGGTGTTAAGTGATTACGATGAATACCGCCACCGGTCTTGAGACACGACACGATAGTGTTCGTTCTGTTTTTTTCCTACGTGACCTAGTAGCCTTGAGAGACTATGCCAGGGTAACTTGACGAGTAGGTGAGCTCTCGAGGCTCTAACCTGGAGGCGTTGCTAACACTAGCCCTAGCAAGAGCAGTGCTTCGCCGGATCGGAAAAGCGACTGCCTGAGAAGACCCGGCGAGAAACTCAGTGGGCTGTGTCTATGGGTTAATTCACTCGTCGAGCCCTTCGTCGCAAGCGACAGGTTCGACGAGAACGGTGACTGGTTCTTGAGGTACCTAAAAGCACCGTTAATGGATCAGGAGGATCCGTAATGACGTTTTTAGGGCGACGTCGACTGTTTATCATTCGGTCTACAGGATCGAGTATGTAACCATCTTGCTGCAACAAGTTTATTCGATTTGTATGTAATTGAAACCATAATAGATGTAAGCAATATTTAGAAAGATTTACCAATTTTCTACCAGAACGGTTCTGTAGTACAATGGCTGCCATATCATTCAAACCGGAACACATCACGGTTTCGCGGCCGAAATAGGCAGGATGGTGGTACCTACCCGTGCGGACTCACACGGTGAATTAGTACCAGTAGTTCGCAAATTATATGTGGGTTCAATTTTTATTACACAATGTTATTCTGTCATCGTGCAAGTCATTCTTTTTTTTTCTACCTATTCTAGTGACCTTGAGGGGTCATACTAGATTCACTAAATGAGTAAGTGAGCTCACGGGGCTCAAACCTGGTTACGTTGCTAACACTAGTACTAGCAAGAGCAGTGCTTTGCTGAATCTACCACCGGATCAGAAACGCGATCCACTGAGAAGATCCGGCGAGAACTTCATTGGGCTGTGTCTTTTTTTTTTATAGCTTAGATGTGTGGACGAGCTCACAGCCCACTTGGTGTTAAGTGGTTACTGGAGCCCATAGACATCTACAACGTAAATGCGCCACCCACCTTGAGATATAAGTTCTAAGGTCTCAGTATAGTTACAACGCCTGCCCCACCCTTCAAGCCGAAACGCATTACTGCTTCACAGCAGAAATAAGCGGGGTGGTGGTGGTGGTACCTACCCGTGCGGACTCATAAGAGGTCCTACCACTAGTAAATAGGCGGAGTGGTGGTGGTATCTGAGGGTTAATTTGCTCGCCGAGCCCTTCGTGGCAAGCGACGGGTTCGACGAGAACGGTGGCCGAGCAAGTCATTCGTGAATATTTATCAAGTACGTCTTACGGAGCCGTGTCCACTGAGACAAAGCGGATTGTACAACGTAGATACGTAATTAAATTTTATTAACGCTTCCCTAGCATCGCAAACAATCGACAATTACTCGACAATGTGTACAATTTCATCCGGTTTTACCTTTAAAGCAAAAGATCTTTAGAATTATCTCGGTCCCCTTCGTGAGTAGCCAGCCGATGAGCCAATTGATGTCACAACGAGAATGCTGCTGAACAAACCAGATAATTTGAGATGCGTGAATTGGTAACCTAAATAATTATGTTATCGGAATGTTTTTAAACAAAAAATATTTTTTTTGTTAAAACATTTAGTTGTTACTATAGAATAAATGAGCGAACTATGTGCAGTATGTATTAGTTCAATTTCAGCGTTTTTTATAGTATGGATGGATGGATGGATGGATGGATCTGGACTGCCCAATAATGCAACATTGGACACTTGTGCATGTTGAGCATTTTGGATTCAAGCCAGCCTTTAGGTTAAGGTAGTTTTGACATTCATTTTTATTTCATTATTGTTTTTATTTAATTTTGGTATTCTATATGAAATGTTATTGTTAATTTGAAGTAAATGAAATAAATAAATAAATAGTAGACGAACGCGCGACTCACCAAATCCTAAATGATGATAGGAGCTCATAATACA